TATATATATGACCAAGGTTTGGATTAGAGAGACAAGTTCAGAGATTGCATTAGTGTTGGGCAGTAGATCTTTGAGGTTTTATCTAGTGTAATGATAACTGAGCTGGATGCTATCTGTTTGTCACTTTGCTATAGTAGGTAAAATGACAATTGAGACAGAGAAGAAACGTCAGTTTTTCAGTCTGGGCACTCATGGGTTATACTTTGGCTGAATCCAAGTTAAAGAGTTGAAGAAGCCTTGGAGATAGTAGAGCCATTATTTGGGATAGGGCATATAGGTGTATGTGCTCCAGACACTGTCGTTGTTCAGATCAAGAGTGTCCCCCAGAGGCCTTGTGTGATCAAGGTTCATGCTTTCTGAAGGTGGTTGGATTTCAAGGACACTATATTCATCAGTGAATTATTCCATGGGTGAAGTAGGGATACATGTGTTGTCGGATATTATTTCCTTGTTGGAGCAGTGTCCCTGGGGCATGACCTGGAAAGATCTATCTCCTTTCTAGGTTCTCTGCCTCCTGATCACTATGATGTAAGCAGCTTTGCTCCTTCTGGACTCTTCTACTATGTACACTCTGTGTTTCAGTCTGCCAGACATGGGCCAAAATAAACTTTGCCTTTAAGTTGCAGGCATCAGGTGTTTTGCTTGGATGACAAGAAAAATGACTGAGAAAGATACTAAGAACACATTCAAGTAGGTGCTTTCCAGCAGTGAGTTATCTGATATGCCTGTTGTTCAAGAAAGTCTTGGGAATCTATATATGGAACAGGAAGGGCAGAGGCAAATAGTTTATATCGCAATTTAAAACTTCAAGAATCTCTGAGATGGGGTGGAGAGATGGCTCAGACACATAAGTGCCTGCCTTGCAAGCACAAGGTTCCCGACTTCAATCCCCAGTACTCCTCCCATCCCCAAAGAAAAATAATCTCTGAGAGGACCAGTAGGGATATCCAGCTTAAGAAGAGTGTGTACATGTGTTGTATGTTATCAGTCAGAGCTGAAAGAAACTACAGGAAGGCTGGATTAATATAGCTTCAGAGGTCTCACTGAGTTTAGTCTCTCTGAGTGAACCCCAAGCCACTGAAACTTCTCACATCTATTGAGGGCCACAGACAAGCTAAGGAATATATAACTAATTTGTTGTCAATGAACTGCTATTTCCATTGCCTTGTGGCATTCACCAAACTCTTAAGTTTACGTATCACTAGCTGGAAACTTTCAAGGTAAAGGAACAATAAACTGGCGGTGCTTCCAGGAATCTGTTACCTTGTCTCCAGCTTTCCAGAATTACAAGGAGCCAGTTTTCTTTGGCCCTGTTCTTTGTTCCTTGCTCCCTTGGGACAGTAGGCTTGTGACTCATATCACTGCACATACAAGGACCAGTTGATGTTTAGAATATAGGTACAAGAGAGGAAATTCAGAAAAGAGGCAGACTCAGGAAGTCAGGGTTGGGAGAAAAAAATAGGAGGCATTTTATAATTGTAACCATTGAAAAGAAGGAAGAAGTGAATTCCAAGAGTACATAGAGTTCAGAAAGAAATAAGCTAAATTGGGCTCATTGCCATTAGCAATTAGATAGTGTTGATTTTTCCTGTTTGGTGAATTTTGTGGAATGGTGAGAGTAAGAAAGAAATAATGGTTCAACTGAACGTCATCTCCATCTTCAAAATTCTTCTCATATGAAAACTTCTTTCTGCAGAGCTCAGAATACATACAGGGGTCATACAGGGATACCGGCCCCACAATAATGAAATAAGTGAATGAAACTCCAAACCTGAAAGATACCTGGGTTGAGTTTAAGTTTTCTAAAACCAAAGAATGAATTTTAGGAACAATAGAAGTTAAGAACAGAATATATTTATTGGGGGGGAAAGAAAGCTCCTGTCTGAGAGAGGGACAGAAGGGGAGTCCTCGAGTAGGTTGCTCTAGAAAGCTGTCTCTTCCAGGGATTTTTATAGAGTAAGACTATGCAGGTCTAATGTGGAGAACATGGGAACTTGCTTAGGTGGGCATGAAGTGGGACAAAACTATGGCCAACCAATGAGATTACAAGCACCATTGCTTGGGTAAAGTTGATTAAATCCGGGACCAAATGGGGAAGTGAGTCATGTAGCAGGCGGTATGAATATAGAACAGTATTTTATCTAGTAGCCAGCTGGTACTGGCTGGGTTAGTGACTCTTCCTGGCTTCCTCAAGGTGGTGATCAGTCCTGGATGCTTATCTTTAGGGAGGTAAGAATTTGCTCGATCTTTGTTCTTTAGGTCTAACCCACAGTGGGAGCATCTGTCTCTCTCATAGTAGCAAGGTATCTTGTCTTCTGGGATGTCTCCTTGAGGGCCTAACCCTGTCTGGCTGCCTATATTTCTATCTAATTCAGCTGACTACAACAATAAAACATTAGTTTTAATGTATGAGTTGAGAAAATTAAGAAGAGAGATTATAAGAAAATGTAATGGGAGGTTCATTTACAATAGAAAATGATTAAGTGTGGCATCTATGTCTTATTTTATGCATAGTGATTTATTATTATTTGAATGATATTAATTAATGGCAATAGCATATCCAGAACACATTATTAAAAAAATTAGATCATGATGACCAGTCCCCAACCTTAACAATCACATTTCTGTAAGTCAAACTATTATGTCGCCTTTCGTGAGCTTGCTATTTTCTTACTCTTTTTGTCTCCTGTGATTTTGATTGTATTACTAGGCTCTGAACGAAGTACTGGTGACTGTTAAGAAATGGATATTTAGTCTTCACAATTATGGAGACAAGAAGCCCGAGGTCCACGTGGGCTGCATTGGCTTTCAGGGGCCTCCCTCACTAGCTAGAATATGATCACCTCCTCACTATGTCCTCATATTCCATTTCACTTTCTCACTCATTCATTGTGTCACTTTGCCTGTCTAGATTTTCTCTTTTCATCACAAATCATATTAGATTCAGACACACCTTAAATACCTTGATTAAAACTAGTGCTTTCTGTAAAAGCCCCTCTCTTCACATCTAGTCATTAGCATTTCACATATGATGTTTGGGAGGAATACAGTTCAGCCCCTAAGACATTAAAGAGAATTCTCTGCCACTTGCTGATTTTCTTATTCACTGAATTTATTCAGTATTACAAGAGTCAAATCATTTTTTTATTACAGGACTTTGCCGCTTTATACTTGAGGAATCATTATCATCTACCTGTTGCCTGTGTCTGCTTACTGCTGTTCCCTCACATTCCATCTGTTCCTCTTTCTCAGTAGGATCTTTCTGTGACTTTCACAGCTGTCTGCACTGATTGCCCTAGCATTTTGGCCATACCATAACTTACATTTTTTGTCACCGTAAAGGAAATGAATGGCAACCAGCCATGTATAATTTACTTTTTGAGGGGATGACAGGATGTCTGCCGAAAGTGTCCTGGAAGTTGGTTTTAAGTTAAGGACTAACATTAAAAGCAGAGTAAGGAGCCAAATCTTTCTCTATAATTTGCAAAAGCTCTGCAAGATTAGGTAGAAAAGGGAGAGAGCCTGGATGTAAGAGAGAAGAAAAAAGAATGTATATCAGACCTTAGTAACATACATGTAAGGAACTGAAAGCACAGGTAGTAAATAAAATAACAAGATTAGTCAGAAAATGACTATGAAGAAACAGCCACGAGAAAAACAGAAGAAAATGTTATAAGAAAAGTTGATATCAGCTCTGCCTAAAACAAATTCCTATACCACCAAATGAGTTTTTTAAAGAGAAAACATTTTATAGGCACATGGGTGGCAATGTTGAGTTTTCACATTATGCAGGTATGAAATTTAGTCCCCCCCTTTTTTTGGCAATACTGGGGATTGAACTCAGGACCTTGCACTTGCCAGTCAAGTGCTTACTCTACTGAGGTATCTACCCTGTCCCCTGAAATTTAGGATAGTGCATTAAAAATGCTAATTTTCTCTTTCAAATAATTTTGTATTGCATAGTGTTTTAAGTGACTAGTGACTAGAGAAAATCAAGTCTATTTGAACATACAGAAAAGTCTGCAGTTTCAAAAATTGCATGATTTTTGTGTTGGGATTTTGTTTTCAATTATTCTGAATTTGTTAAATCAAAATGTCATCAGTAAAGTAAAGAGAAATAGGACTGGAGGCTGAGTTAGTATTCTGAAAACACATTGGCATAAATGGCTACCAAGAGGGTTCTATGATGATCTTCCATAAAAGATTCATGGTAGTAAAGATTTAGTTTTCCCAGTGGGATGAATTACACACTTGTAACCTTGGGCACTGATAGTTTGCAAATGTTAATTAAATGAAATTGCTGTTGAAACTAGTAATGCTAAAACCTTATGCAAAAAAACCTCTGGAGCAATTGATAGTGTTCATTAAAGAAATGCATTGTCATACTAGGGGTTGATAAGAAATCTGTACAGAAAAGTATTTTAACTAAACAATACAAGAAAATTAGAATTCACTTTTCATAAAATGAACAAAATTGCCTTGGATGCAAGTCCAATCAAGCAAGCAAATGAGTAATTAAGCAAGCAAGAGAGTAGTTTTTTCTTCCATTAACTATGCATACATTTTAAGCAACTGGACTAGGAGGAGGAAAATTAATGTGCTGACTTTTTTTTAAGTGCCAGGAATTGAACCTATGGTCTCTAAATGTAACTACTGTCCCAGCCAAATTTCATTTTATATCTTTGAAGATTCTCACTAAATTGCCCAGGTGGAATTCAGACTTGCTAATGTCCTATCTCAGCTTTCCAAATCTCTAGAATTACAGATGTTCACCACTGAACCCTGTTTCATTATTATTGTGTTATTAAATGAGGACAAATGTAATTTGTCACAATATGATTGTTCTTGCAAATTTGATAATGTAAAATAGCATTTCAGTATATTACCAATGGAATTTAAAACAGAATTCTACAATAGGAAACATTTTCTTTTTCTTTGTATCAGAATTATAAGCTATGATCTTTATGCACCTATCAAATATAGGGTACTTTATATATTAAATGAAAAATAATTCAGTCAAAAAGTTACTGAAAAATCAGAGTAATTTGGAAAGGTAGTTCAATATTATGCATGTTTTAATTAAATATAAATAGAATATATTCATTCAGAGTAAAAGGAAGAAAATGTTGATTAGGGTTATTAGATTGGACTGAGGTTATTTTTAATCTCTTAACTTTATAGGTTGTAGGAGAAGACATGTTTTCACTCAGTATATTGAGTACAAGTGTCTCCATAACAACTTACATTATGACTAGCAAGTGCAGACATTCAGGGATTGTATCGATTCTTCTAGGCAAAATCAGTGAGAGCTCTAGAAAATTCAAGCTGTGTTGAACAGGAGGCTACATTGAAAGTTGGTATGTACCAACATAGCTATAGTTGAACATTTCAGATATCATTTGAACATGAGTTTACTTGTAATGACTAGTAGCTGGTATCTAGTCTAATATGAAGAGATAATCAATATAGGAACTTTGAAAATGAAAGGAAAAAATAAGGAACTTATGAAATCTGATCAAGAATGAGAAAACTAGCCACATTTATAGAACTTAATTCACATCATTATAATTGCAAAAGGCATGATTGTTATTCATTATTAAATAAAAATACATTTTTTTTGGGGGGAATAGTTTGTTGTTTTCCATTCACTTAAGGAAAATAGTCATATGTCAATAGTTAAATTTGGAAGATAATTATAATTAAATGGGCTATTTGAAAATGGTAACAACTTACTTTCAAAGTTTTTTTTTTTTTTTCTTTTTTGGTCTTACAATCTCAGTTTTATCACCAGGACATATAACATTAATTTAAAGAATATACAACATCGTGAGAATGTGACCCTATGTATTTCTTCCATTGCAAGGAACTCATTTTTCCTTCACAGTGAATGCAATTGTTTCTAAAATTCTATAGCTCGACCCCCCCCCCCACACACACACACAGAGGAATCCTTCCTTTTATCCCTTTCCCTCTTCTCATTTAGTCCTGGTGCTTCTGCACTGAGGTGATAAAGCTTTCTCTCTATCTCTGTCTGCCTTGCTCTCTCTCTTGCTCTGTTTCTTTCTCTGTCTCTCTGTCTCTGTCTCTGTCTTTCTCTCTTTTTTCTCTCTCTGTTTCTCTCTGTCTCTCTTTCTCTCTCTCTGTTTCTCTCTGTCTCTCTGCCTCCTTCTGTTTCTCTCTCTCTCTCCTTCTTGTTTTTGTTTTTTAGTTCTCAATCATCCTAGAAATAAAACTAAGTGCCTTTGCCCTGAACTATGCCCCAACCCATTTTAAATTTCTTGTTTTTATTTTGAGAAGACTTCTATAAAGTCACTACATTGTTCAAGTTAAACTCTTAAATTTTTATTCTCCTGCATCAGGCTTTTGGAGCATATATAGGCATATTCCACGATGCCTAGCTTTGTCATTTATTTATTTATTTTTAAATTTATTTTTATTCAAAAGTCTATACAAATAAAAATCTTGAGAAAGATATAGAATCTTAAATCAAAGTTTACTAAACATTCATAACCTCAAAATACGGGGTTGGCCAAATAGCTTAGTGGATTAAACACCTGCTTAGGCAGATGCAGGGACTGGGAGTTTGATCCCTGGGCCTGCCCTGCCAGCCCCACATCCAGGGCTCACTGAGATGGAGATTGAGACTGGATGTGGTGGCGCAGGCCTATAATCCCAGCCCTTGGGAGGCTGTGAATGGGAGGATGACTGAGTCCGATCTATGCAATGAGACCCTGTAGACCCTGTCCTAAATTAAAAAAATAAAAAGAAAGAAAAATCATGCATTTTTCTTTTAAAAAATCCAACTTCTCAGAAATCACTTCAGTAGTTTCTGATTTGCCAGCCCTGATAAGGGTCCTCTAATCAGACTTTGAAAATGCTTATTCATAAATTCTAACCAATTATTTTGACAGCCACTAACTTAAACCATACCATTATAAATCTGGAACACATTAAGTAGAATTAAAGAAAGTAATGAAGGAAAATATTTTCATGAATAAGAATTGTTGGAAGGCACCATATAATCTTAGCCTTTATCTCTGCTTGGAGTAAGAACACTGGTCAGGAAGTTAATTTTCAAACTTGCATGATATTCTGAGGATCCCAAAGTTACAGAGTCATAAAATTTGGGAGGATTTTAATGGTGATTCTGCCTTGCATCCATGTTTAGCCATTAAGAGCACCTAAGCGATGTGGTCAGCACCATAGTCTGGTATGCTGCAGAGCCAAATTTTGACCCGATCTCCTTACTCCACCCAGCACTTTGCACTGCATGTAACTTAGCACTACAATACTTGCTTTACATATATTTTCTGACAGTCTCATTACCCAAAGGTTATTCAAAATTATGTATATAATTAAGAGATGCTACCGTATACTTTATCCAGTGCATTTTTTTTTTATGTCTACAAGTGCAAAATCTGTGAACACCTTATACAAATTTAAGGTCTTATAGTAGCGATGGATTTGAATTATCACCAGCTACTCTGTAGTTCAATTAAAATGTGAAATAAAACTTGTTTAAATGCCTTTACTTATGACATTATAATAGAAATTTAGAAAAAGTGCAAACTATAAATCATGTTAATTATGTTGAGTCTTGAAAAATCTAGAATTGTCTAGCTTTGTGATAGAACAGTAGGAACTGAACTATGGCATGCAGGTAAGTAGAGGAAGTGGGTGCTCCCAGCTCAGGACAGTGCTCTCCTAGCAATGGGCAGACTTACAGAGTTGGAAAGCTCTTCATCCTCCATGCTAAGAATGTTAGTAGTGATAAGAATTCCAGAAAAACATAACTACACATACTATGAGAGAATTGGACTTTTTAAAAAAGTATCAGTTCAACTAATGTAGTGTTCTGCTCAGCAAGAGTTACATTTTAAACATAGAATAATGTCTCGCTTTCTCACACTGAACAAAACTATGACAAGTATTGGTCATATGGATGGAAAACAGGTGTTTTGAGACACCAGGTTTCTCTAGGAAGTAGATGCCCTATTTGGATATCAACTGCTCATTGTGGAGATTTCCTTACCTGACCTTTAGTTGGAGAAAAGTAGGAAGAAAGTAAAGTTTGGATATGTGTATGTTTGCTATCATGTTCACTTTATACATAGAAAGCATATTCTGTGCAGATTATGTTCATTCATTCATTCATTCATTCATTCATTCATTTGCTCATTTTTTCCAGTGACAAGAAGAATACAAATACCATTAAGAAAGCTATAATATCTTAACTATACTTAAAATTTGTTAATACTTTCAGTAGAAATTGTTTCATTTCAAATTTGATGTTTTACATTTTGAAATTATAAATAGAATACTCATGAAAACCCAGTAGAAATAAATGATGAGCTCTAACTCCCTAAGATAGTAATAACAGTGCAAAGAGGGTAAATGTGGCCAGCTGCCACTGGGGACATAAGGTGAGCATTCTGAAATCTTCAGAGGAGCTGCCTTTACAGCTTTGTATTAGTCAAGGTCCTCCAGTGAAACACAACCAATATGACAGATGGACACATAAGAAAGTACATAGGTCTTTTTTGGGGGAAATTGGATTATGTGGTATTGTGCATGCTGCTAAGGTCAAAGTCTGCAGAACAGAGCTGGTGAGACAAGGAAGAGTACATTTTTGTACCTTGAGTCAATAGGCATGCCGCAGGCAGAAAGCTTTCTTCCCACCAAAATGTGAAGGGTTCTTTTTTCTCCCCACAATCTTGACACTACTTTGTTAATATTATTATTCTTTTACTAATCTTTTTTTATTAATTTTAATGAGAAAATAAAATAGCAATGAAACAGTTTCAAACCAGGTTAGTAGGACAGTCACAATAATTAATACATTGCATATTGTTGTCTTTGTGGTGGTTATTCAGAGGACAAGATGAAGACATGATATCTTGTCTAAACACTACTAGTACAAACCTTTCTTCTCATTGAACTAGATGAAAGTAGTTGTATATCTATCCTATTTTGTATATAAATATGTATTTTTTCACTACAAAATAGTCTGTGATTTTATATCCCCCTTTTTTGTTTTGTTTTGTCAGAGATGGGTGTTCCATTGCTGTTAGAGAAGCTGTATTAGGAGAAGTCTGTAAAGGACCTTTTATACTTGATGCCAGATCAAATATTGTAGGTACTAGAATTCAGCAGCATAACCTGATATACAGTCCAACTATATGTGCTGAAATCTGTGAATTGAGCAACTACACGGAGGATAGCAATGTGTAATACTAAAACCATACTTGGAATACCTATCATTCTGGTCTTCAAAATGAGTTGTGCTTGTGATGTCATATTAATTATTGCTATACTCTCTTGAAAGTAAATATTTATAAAGAAAAAGGTGATAAAAGAAAACTAGAGACAAGAAAAAAATGTCATAGGATTATCCTGCTAAAATGTTGTATATGGTTTGATTTCTAAATTTGTGAGTAAAAATGTGTAATTGTTTTTTCACATTCTGTAGAGATTTAAAGTTTAGAATATCGTGTTTGTTGGAAAATAGCAGTTGCATGTTATAGACAATAGCAGTTCCATGTTATGTCTGAGGTATTTGATATTCAAACAGATAATGACGTTAAGCTCAATTGCCTATGTTACAGAGTAATAATATCGTTAAGCTCGTCTTCTGGATGTTTAACAACTAAAATTTGCAGACCAAAAATTAGAGAAATCGAGGGGCTACAGGGATAGCTAATATTTTGACCCTAGCCCTCCAAGGTCAGTGAAGACTCAGGACATAAGAGAACCTTGCTGTAACTCAGTGGTGTCCCAAATTTTCTGTTCAAGGAGGTTATGGAGCCACAGAGGAAAATGATTGATGATGTGGACTGTGCCTAAGGAGAGTCACATTGAGAAAAAACATTCTCTCAGGCTTTCACAGAGAGCAAATTGGTCAAGCGATGGCCGTGACTCATCCAGATGGCTGACAATGATAAAGCATCTAAAAACTGGGATGCAGTGTTTCAGGGTAAATGCTGAGGGGAGTTGACTGATCTTGTCAGATACAAAAGTTACATTTTTAGTTATATAGGTCTTGCTTTGCTGTGTTTTTAACCATTTGGCAGAAAAGTATAGCCATGAGGTATAAAAAATAAAACATATTAATATGATGAGCTATAAAAAGCTCTAGTCAACAACTTCTGACAATTACCACTTCTGCTGATGACACTTTTTAATTGATTTCTTGTTAATCACCTTTCATTCTGAGGTAAGATGGAGTCTCAGTGTCTTGATTTGAATTTCTTCAGTTTTCCCCATTTAATTCATGTAATTTTACTGGTAGATTTTTTTCATGAATGGCTTTTGCAGAATGAGGTATGACCCTTCTATGCCTATTTATTTCTACAATGTTTTTATCATAAATGGACATTGGGTTTTGTCAAATGCTTTTTCTTTGTCTACTGAGGTTTTCATGTGATTTTTTTCATCTTGGTTTGGTTTTCATAATCTATATGTAACTAAAAATTTACTTGTCTCAGATTGGGCATGTTGGCACACACCTGTAATCCCAGCACTTGGGAGGCTGAAATCAGGAGGATGACTATGAGTCCATCTCTGCAGTGAGACCCTGTAGACCCTGCACTAAATACATAACAAAAAATTATCTGTCTTCTGAATTTTCTGATTTATTAGCATGTAGGTTTTCAAAGTAATAATTTTTTAAATTTCAGGAGTGTCCATTGTGATTTCAGTTCTAATTACAATGATTACTATCTTTTCTCTCCTGTTCTGAGTTAGATTGGCTAAGGGTTTGACTATGTTGTTCATTCTTTCAAAGAACCAACTCTTTGATTGTGTGATTATTTTTTTAGGTTCAGTGTAATTGTTTTTTATTCTGATCTTTATCATTTCTTTCCTTTGTACTAGCTTTGCGTTTGAAGTTTTTTGAACGTTTTTTATGGTAATGCTGGAAGCTTCATTGGTTTAAGGAGCTGTAATTTGTTTCTTAATTTTTATTTAAAAATATAGAAATTGCAATGTTTAATTTATTTTGCTAGTCTCATGAACCTGATGTTCCTTAGGGCAATTGAGCAAATGGAGTTGATATCTGTGAACTTTTACCATCAAGCTCCTTGTTTTGTGGATGACCTATATTTTACTCCATAGCTTTGTTATTTGATTTACTACTACTAAACATGGACTATCCTGTCATTTAGTCTTGTATATATGACTAGATATTTTAGGGAGACATTAATGCCAAGGTGTTATAGGTCAGTCAGAATTAAGCAAATTTAACGAGCAAGTGTATTAATTGCTTTGATTGATCTTGCATTTTGTCTGAAGATTTCTTGCATTACTACAAAGTAATACTGCACAAGATAATGCTTTAAATATGAAATATAGGACAGAGTGGCAAAATAAACAGTGTAGTAATAGGATGGTGATACATACTTTCAACAGTTATGATTTCATTTAATTAAATTAGAAGTCAACATGGAATGTTTTTCATATTTGTTAATCAGTGCTATTTTTTCTGTTATCTTGCAAGAATGGATCTCAATTCAAGAATTTGCTGTTTCTTATCTTAAAATGCTTATCTTAGAAACTTTTGTCCTTTTTCCTCTGAGAAAATGAAAGTCAAATTTCTTATTTTTTATTTATTATGCATATGATCAACATCTTTAAATAGAATAAGAAGCATGAAAACCTAATTTTCTGGGTGTTATACTAACCTGAAGGAGTAAACACATGAGGTATTTGATTATGTATCAAATGACTCAACTTTAATGACTTCCTTATCAAAGCTAAGCATTTGCTAAGGTTTAGCTATTTAAGACTTAGAAATATTAGTTTCTGCAAGAGAAAAAGGAACAAAAGATTATTGAAACCTGTGCTCTGCATCTTTTTTAAAATTTTATATTAAAAGGACTCTTCTCATAGAAAACTTTGCATGGTTTTTTCTCAGTTCTTTTGTATAAATACATGTTTGTAGCACATGTTGATCCCATTTTTTCATGGGGTGGTCTGGGTGCAAATAACATCTTAATTCCTTTTCTCATCCTCTTTGCCTTTGTCTTCTTCTTGTTTCCCTCCCTCTTGGACCCCTTCCCATTTTCAGAAGATCTACTTCCTCATTTCCTAGTACTTATCTTTTATTTAGATTATTTAATATTTTACATTTATGACATAAGAGAAACCATGTAAGTTTGAATATTGTTTGTTTGATTTATTTCACTTATTATTAAGGTCTCAAGGTTCATCTATTTTGATGTAAGACAAGTTTACAGTTTTATGGCAGTATAGCATTCTACTGTGTGTAAACAGCACAGTTGATGGACATAGATGTGCTATTTCTAAGATTTAGCTATTATTAATGATGCTTCTAGAAGCATGAGCATGCATGAGTCACTGTAATATGCTGTTTGAGCAGATAACTACAAGAATAACTGAAAAATTAGTTTTAGTTTTTAGACAAATTGACCCACATAATTTCATGATGATCAGACTACTTTATATTCCACTAACAATATAGAATGCTGCCTTGATACCTGAAGCCTCATCAGTATTTGTTATTTATTTATTCTTTCATTAAGCCCATTGATTCCGGAATAAGATGAATTATTGGTGTTGTTTTGATTTGCATTTCTTTATTTGCCAGTGTTATTAAATATTTTTTTTTAAATTTTACTTATTGGTTATTTTTATTTCTTTGTCTCAGGAGTATCTGCTCATTTTAGTTGCCATTTTTTATTGAGTGTTTTACTTTGGAGGCATCTAATCTTTTTATTTCTTTTACAGTCTAGATATATGTCTTCTGTTTAAAGAATTTTTGATAAAATTGATTTCCATTCTGTAGGTTTTCTCCTCACTCTGTTGTTTTCTTTGAGATGCAGAAATGTTTTAA